TCAATTGAACGCTATTGTAAAACTAATATAAATATTTGTGTAACCCGATGATCAAAATCTAGACTTTCCCTATGCTTGTGTAATGTAGATGTGTAATTTTTGTGTTATTTACTTTATATAGTTACATATCGGAAAATTAGCATCACATTATTTGCTTACACAATGTTTGTAGATCTAACTGATTATTCGTATAATATTGATATTGATGTCACGTATATATGATCGAAATTTTTCCTCGGCGACGGGCCGTCGCTGAAATTTTCAAGTCACATGCTATGTACTTATGGAAATATAAAAAAAATTTGTTACGCGTTTTTCCAAGTTGCATATGTTATCATGTTATCTGAAATTAAAGAACCTGGCTCTGGTTTTGAATACTTCCTGAATACTCCCTGTCAATCTTGGGATGCACTCAAATACCATGAAACGTGGAAAAATAGCAATTTAGGCTTGGATAAAGCACTTGTAACAAGAAGATTTAAAACACAATTGCAGAAGATAAAAGAACAAGGCACAGAAGAGGAAAAGAAGAATGCCATACGCCTTGAAAATCAATTTAAGGTCAGTATATCCCCATAATTTATACAACCGCAGGACTGCATTCAGTAGCTACCCATGGAACTTCGTCTTCGCATGGTTATGGACTTCGTCTCCGCTACTACAGCTACCCATGGAACTTCGTCTTCGCATGGTTATGGACTTCGTCTCCGCTGTTGGCTTCAGTTATCCATGGAACTTCGTCTTCGCATGGTTATGGACTTCGTCTCCACTGTAGCCAGCTTGTAACAACCATTTTTAGTTTCCAATAACCTTGATACACTAACATATAAAATTTATCTATGTAAGGTTGAATCTAAAAAGATGGGGCGCATTGATAACTTTTGGTTGAAGTTTTTACCTGGGTCGAAGCGTCGCGATCTTATGGAGAATAAAAAGATAAATGCCGAAAACGTGTTTTTATCATGCGATTTATCTTGTGATGGAGTACAGTTTGGTGGAGCTGGCAATATTATTCAAGGGCACAAACAGTCGTATGAAGATCGTGAACAAGGGAGTGTTGAAGTGGTGATACCAACCAAAAGGGTGAGGCTAAGTGGCTCTTAATTCCTTTAAGCAACAAATAACTTATTGACATTTTTGCCTTTCTGCTATATGATTTAGATGAAATCAAGTGGCCAAACCGAAACTGAAAAAGATCCAGTTCTTGATGTGGCTCATGAGGATCTCGAAACCTCTAGCGATAATTACACTGATGATGAGTCTAATACTTCATCCATTCTGCAGATTGATTACGGTGAATTGGTAAACAAAGGCGCTGTGCAAGATGGTAAGAAGCCACATTTTTTTTGTCTTATGTTCAGATACTATTGTCTAAACTTGACTATTCTTGAAATTATTATTTATTGCACAGATGGACCTCGAACTCCTCCTCATCAAATTGTCAGTAACACATACAACCAAGAAATATCAATTCATGAAAACATATTAAGAATGTCTGCTAAAAGTTTAGCGAAACTAGACGAATCCAAGGTATTTATTTGAAGATTGCTAATTTTTGATGCATATAACGAATACTCAATAATTTACATTAAACAGTACTTCGGAGAATTTATTCCATATTTTATAAAATATAAGAAATCACAAAAAAATAATCCGTATTCGTAAGTAATCGAACTGCTTAGGGCATATTTTATAATTTATAAGTAATGCCTTCTCAATAAATAGGTGTACAAATGATGATGTAATGGATATTCGAGGAGATAGCGGGTTTTCGAAATTTTTATCAGTTGATGATTATATAAAATTACGATCAAAAAAACCAAAGAGGAAAGTCGAATTACCAGAAGATTGGCGTAATGCTGTTGAAGAATATTTTAAGGTAATAGTATCCTATAGTATGTATTTGACATTTATGACAATTATTGATTATATTATTTTATAGGAGACAACCGAAAATGGATCAAAAAAAAACATATCTGATTGGATCAGTATTACAGAAGAGCTGGGAGTCGTAAAAAAGGAAGATAACAAAGAGCTAATGAGAATAAAGAAATATTTGAACCGAGTTATGCTACCGTTGTAAGTGTTTTCTGAGGTTTATTGATATTTATTGCCTATTGTTTCTAACATCTTATATTGCAGGATCGAATCATTCTCAAAACCAATCCCAGATATCAGTGCCCCGAATACCAGTGAACATCATTATTGGTCAGAATTTGGCCATCGTTTCTTCTCAAGAGCATTACAAGAATTTGTGGGTCTTGATTGGAGGGCGTAAGTATTGGATTTAATCGAGTTACCTTATTATTATTGATTTATATTAAATCCATTTTTTATTCTTAGCATGGAAGTCCCTGTCCTTGCTTCTAAATACAGAAGAAATTATGCCCATAATCATGCTATAGATACAGTGGTTGATGGAAAATATGCGGACTTGTTGGCGTGGATGTGGGAGACGGGTGAAGAAATCTTTGTTGGGGAACAAGCTGGACCTCCTGTTAAACCCGACCTCACAAAATCAGCAACAGATTTTTTTAAATTATATAGAGAAATGAGAGATTGTTTAAATGCTAGAATTTTACATGCCATGGGAAAAGGAGACATAAATTATAATGATCGTGCTATTTTTGGAATATTTGGTTACCTTTTTGAGATCAAAATGTTTATTATGTGGAAAGATGGCGTATACGTATATGAGGAATATGGAAGTTTAAATATTGCTTCCAATATGAATCAGATTTTTATGATGAAAGAAGATATATTGCAGTTACTGGAATTTATGGTAAGTTCCATTTTATAAACATCTTTTATTGATTCTTAATTGATCTAAATTGATTCTGTTATAGATGATCATTAAAATCGAAGTGGAAAATACTGTGAAAACAAAATATAATAGTGATACGGTACATATTTTGAAAAGAAAATTTGACGAAATTATTCAGACAAAACCATCACCATCAAATGTTGCAAAGAAGAAAAAATAATTATTGTAAATAACCTTATTGAAAATTATAAATAATAAATCAAGTTATTTTTATTGAGTGAAAAAACACGTAATTATATATAAAGCAATTGTATTTCCCGTTAGTATTAAAATTAGTTAAGTAATTTGCAATATCTTTAGTGATTGTTTTAATAATTTTTGACGACGGCCCGTCGCTGAAATTTTTGTTACTTTGTTACACATTTTAAATAAATAATAAGATATATACAATCTATTACTAAACATGCAATCTAAGATTGATTCATTGAGACAACGAATTTCTGAGCTTGAAGCCGAAAAGGCTGAGCTTGAGGCAAAGAATGCCGAGCTTTTAAAACAGGTTATGGAAGAGAACACCAAACGCGAAGCTGAGAATGTTGAGCTCAAGGCTAGAATCGAGGAACTAGAGAAAAATAAAATGAATACTATTAACCTCAAGGCTGAGAATGATGAGCTTAAGACCAGAGTTACGAAATTGGAACAGAAACAGATCCAGGTTATTACTAATGAGCAGGAAGCACCTCCTACAAAAGATATTTCGCCACTTATCGAGAGCAATTCTGATGAGAAAGGTATTACCCCCGATCCCTTGCCTGAAATAGAACATAGCTCAACCCAGGCCCAAAGGGGCGAATCTTTAGATTTATCTGAATCTTCAACAGAGCCTGAAATATTTACAACCTCTTTACCACAAGATATTATCGATGACGATTCAGCCGAGATCCTAGATTTTGTAGAAACGATACATAAGGAAAGGATTAGTAGTGAGATAAGAGAGAGGAACCGGGAAAAAAAACTTCAAGA